GGAAGGAAGGAAGGAAGGAAGGAAGGAAGGAAGGAAGGAAGGAAGGAAGGAAGGAAGGATCTGGACAATATATCTATTTTTCTAGTTTCCCCCATAAGCTCTGTAATAGGAACTTGGGAGCCATTCTCTCAACCGGATGTCAACTAAAAGTTGTGCTAAAGGGACAAATTAAAGTATTGGATGACAAATTTTGCACATGTCCTTGCATACAAATTCTGAGATTTGAAGGCATCCTGATTTCAGCCAATGCCTCCAGTGTGAACACTGGTCTCTTAAGGAAGGTTAAGAGACCAAGGGACAGGTGGTACTAAGGACCAGTGACCAATTGTGCTGCAGTTAAGTCACTAAAGCATGGCTGCCTGGGAAATTTTAGGAGTCAAAGTACACACGTCATATAGTTGCCAAGATTCCTGCATAGTATGTTTTTGTATTTGTGATTAAACTACACATGATCAAACTCAGGGAGCGGACTGGATCCCTGGGGCCAGATCAACTAAAGGAAGTTCCTGAGCTAGAGTAAGACAAGGAACTAAACTAAAATCACTAAGGACCAATGACCCATTTTTTGTTGCAGTTCAGCCACTAAGTAACTGCAAATTTTGTTTGTGTGTGTGTCTGTGTGTGTGTGTGTGTGTGATTAAAATATAGGCAAAAATGTAAGGAACTGCCTGGATCACTGGGGACAGATCAGTTAGAGAAAGCTCCAGGAAATAGGAAGACAAGGAACTGAAGACAAGGAACTAAAGACATGGTAAGAGGAAGTCAAATAACTTCAACGAAGTTACTGTCTGTACCGAAAAGTCAACCGAAAACATGTCATTGAAGGCTGGCAATATGCCACCCCAGCAAGCTGAGCAGGTGCCATGAGAAAAAGTACCTAGTTCTCTTCCCACAACACATTAACCCCTGGCTATTTCTGCACAGAACCCTCAACCAGCCAACCTTCCTAAGTTCATCCACCCCACTCAATCTTCAAGGGAGCTAAGTGAGCTTCAAGGTTAGCCTGCAGGACAAAGGCAGATGCTGCAACCTGCAGCTAATCCAATTAAGTATGGCTCATGAATGAACAGAGAGGAACAACGCAGGTTGGAAGCCACAATTGGGAAACAAGAGAAAACATCTTCGCAAACCAGCGCTGCTTTCCATTAAGAAAGAAACCAACTTTGTCCAGTTCTGGGCTCTGGAGGTAGAAGTTGGTGGGAAATTTCCTCAAAGTGGAGAAAGGAGGGCTTGGATTATAAATCAGGTAATGCTCAATTTACAACCATTCATTTAATGACCGTTCCAAGTTACAACGGCAAAAAAGAGATGTATGACTGTTTTTCACACTAACAAAAGGTTGCGATATTCCCACCGTCACTGACCAAAATTCGGAGCCATTGCAACTGGTTTGTATTTATGACCGTTGCACTGTCCCAGGGTCATGTCATCACATTTGTAACTTTCCCAACCGACTTCCGACAAGCAAAGTCAAAGGGGGAAAGCCAGATTCATTTAATGACCGCATGATTCACTTAATAACTGCAGAGATTCATTTAAGAACTGTTTCAAGAAAGGTCGCATAATGGGGCAAAGCTCATTTAACTGTCTTAACAATGGACATTTGAGTCTCACTGTTCATATGGCAGCAACTCTACAAAATTATAAAGGTAAAGGTTCCCCTCGCACATATGTGCAAGTCATTCCCGATTTGTCATCTCTGTTTCAAAGCTGAAGAGCCAGCGCAGTCTGAAGACGTCTCCGTGGCCATGTGGCCGGCATGACTAAACACTGAAGGCACGTGGAACGCTGTTACCTTCTCACCAAAGGTGGTCCCTATTTTTCTACTTGCATTTTTATGTGCTTTCGAACTGGTAGGTTGACAGAAGCTGGGACAAGTTTCAAGTTTATTAGAATTTGTATGCCGCCCACTCCCATAGGGGACTCTGGGCGGCTCACAACAGACAAGAAACATTTAAAATTTAAAAATAGAAATAAAAAATACAATATTAAAATCCACACCCCCCATTCCATCTAAGGGGGGCTGGATATCAATCAACAGCCCCAGGCCTGCC